AAAGCAGTGAGTCGAGTAAAGGTCTTCCAATTTGCCCGATCAAATTGCAGCGAGGGCTACGGAAAGGTGGTGAACTCGGGAAGGTGAAGTACGAATGATAGGAAATGATCGCTGTCATGTAGGTCCGGTATAGAATTAGAAAGTCCAGGTGAAGTTCTGTGCAGTGGAGGAAGAGCAGATGATAGATCGCGCAAGGATGAGTGTGCGAGTACTAGGATCAAATTGGGTGGGAGTACCCTTATTTACAACATGGGGGGTGAAGAGGCAAGAAATGCCTTCCAAGTGGATGCCACGTGAGTCACAATGAGACCCCCCCCCCCCCCCAGAGGAAAATGGTGGGCGTTTGAAATCACCATAGTAAACAGTAGTGGCGGTGGTAAGGATGAAACTCGAAAAGCAAATTCTTGGATAGAAAATGCTCAGAGAAGGAGAGAGCTATAAAGAAATATTGTGATACCACTTATTCAAGAGGTATAGGGCTGCAGTGTAATAAATAATGACAGGCGAGGTATGGACAAATGTTGACAGTACGGAATTTCATTGTGTTAGAAGAAGAGCCTTTCATAAAGGTCCATCTGCGAAAGGATCCGGAAGAATACAATAAATTATAGTCTGTGAGAGGTTGGAAACGACTGAGGTAATTTGGTTCTTGTAGGCAAGCACCAACCGGGGAAAACCTGGAAAGCAACAGCTGAAGATCATCCCGACTTACCCCTGGAGGCCGCGGATTTCCACTGTTAATAGGCCATGATTGGCGCTGAAGAAATACCAGGAATCCGTAGGGAAGGGCACTACGGACTAGAGAGTTAGAATGGAACAGGAGGTGGATCAGTGTCCATTGAAGTTTAGTCTCTGGCTATTATTTGAATTGGCTTCAAGTGTTCTGAATTCAAAGAGTTATGGGAGACAATATTGGAGTACAAGGAGGAGAGTGAGTAAAGATTGGGACAGTAATGGACTGTACCAAAGTAGGTGGGGGAATGAAAGAGTGTAGGGGACTGGAGAGGAAGTGTGGGTGGGGACAGAAGAGGCAGAAAACCTAGGAGGTGGAAGAAGAGGAGACAGAAACTGGGAGGGGACGGGGGGGTGGAAGGCATAGTTACGAGGAGGGGGTGAACCTCCAACACTTGTAATATAGCCAGATAGGATGGGAAGAACTAGGTCCGAGACTGGAAAAGGTAAAGTGCGGAGGTGGTAATGTAGGGAAGGAAAGGGGAAAGAAGATTTGAGCATGAGTTTTTTTGGTAGTCTGAGAAGTGAGGGGGCGATTGGTTAGAAGTGTGTTGTACTGGGCTCTTGTCGATCCGGGCTTGTGAGGAAGGACGTGAAGATGGGAGATGAGAACAGATGAGTTGTGTCGTGGCCGTCAGAGCCAAGGACGCAAAAGGATTAGATGGCCAGGTGGCTATGGGAGGGTGGTAACAACAGACGGAGGGCTACAGAAGATGGAGACTCAGAAGTGGGGGGACCGTTTGAAACACGAGGAATAAGTATCACGGGGGGTCGTCTCCTTGGACGGAGGAGATGCGTAACTGCCATAGCATAAGGGAGGACCTTTCTAGCTTCCTTTGAAGGCAACGATTTCCACGCTCATTCAAGTAGACCTTGCAACGGCGGAGAGCTACGAAGGATGAGCCTCATTACAATTAAGGCAAGTGGAGGTTGACTGCAAGATGGTATTAGAATAGTGTCGGCACCACGACTGGGCATTCGGCCATAGATCTGCAATATTTTGCTGGGTGACCAAGATGCCAGCAGTTTACACTGTTGCGGTGTGGGATACCTTCGAACTTGTAACCGATGACCCCCCCAACATAACAGGCGCGGAGGGGGGTTTTGGCTATCAAAAAGTTAATCGAGCACATTGCAAGGGTAACGTCTCCACCCGGTGTAGGAAGGATGTAGTGTCTACTTTGAGGATTGGGAGATCCTTTAGAGTTCCAGCTGTTCAAGAATGTCATTGCCACATGACTGGAAATTTCTGCTGGACTATGGTATGGGGCAGAATGACAGTACACTCTAGAATTGAGAGAAAGATGTTTTTCAATAGGATTAGGAGTAGTATCGATATGCGAAGGAGAGAAAGATCATGAGCTAGGGTAGCATTTCTGGACAGTTGACGATGTTGCGTTCCCGCTCTTGAGAGCATGAAATGAAATATCTTACCTACACGGGAGGGAGCACTTGCCAAATACTATGGTCAGAAAAGCTATGCCGAAGAAGACGGTCTTAAAGTAAAGAATTAGTCCATTGGTTGGTCCGAAACCGAGCTGTGAGAGGGAAATGTGCATGAGTGTCGGTTATTATCTAGTAGAATGGGAAGGTAACGAGGGACCTCATCAGGAGATTGTCGTTGGGTTTTAGGAGTAGGACCGGAGTTGGTCCATCGTGAAACGAGAGCTGGCGATTCGAAAATTGCTGTACCATAGAGGGAGAGGCAGAGGCATAGTCAAAGGAGAGGGAGGAGGTCAGACAAATCGAAGGAGTCAACTCGATGCCCCGGTACCTTAAGCAGGTGAGGGGAAACTGGCCCAGCAAGAGGTACAGGGGCATCAGGGGGGGAACGTGTCCGAACAGTGGTCAAAAAACAAGGCAGGGTCAGAATGGGGTGCGGTATCAAGGAAGGGCCCAGGGGTAGTGGGTTCTTGGATTGGGTTCTCCATGGTTTAGGTTCTCCTTTGCTTTTTGTTTTTTAAAGAAAAAAAAAAGAAAGAAAAATAAAAAGAAAAAAAAAGAATAAAAAAAGGGGGGAGCGGGGAGGAATTGTTCCAGGAGGAAAATGAAAGGACCGGAAAAATCTCCCTCCGCACCCAAGAGGACTCAGCACCGTAGTAGACACGATGCAGCATGGAACCCGTGCCATACCCTACCTTCACGCCAGGTAAACAGCAATCCGGATAGCAACCTCACATCTGCGAGCTTACCTCGGTGGACAAAGAGAGGGCGGCCGGATATCCGGCCACAAAGCTACCTCCTTCGGCCATCACCCCGGAATCCGAAAAGGTGGCATTGGCTTCCAGGAGATACACCCGTCGCCCGGAAAGACACTCGCCGGGATCAAGAGGGATGGGGACACCCCCAGGCGATCCGATTCCACAGCAAACACCCACCGCCAAGAACCCCAGCAAATGGGAGGGGCCCCTGTCCCCTTTTTTTTCCCTACTAGGAACTAGCGCGCCGGGGGAAAAAAACCCCAAAGGGCCCAAAAAGAGAAAGGGCAAAAGGGAGGGGGGGGAGGGGGAAAGGGGGAAAGGAAAATGGGGAGGTGGATAGGGGGGGGAGTTTGGGGGGGTAATTAGGTTTCGGTCTGGGGAAAAAAACCGACGGTCTAATTCCTCAGACCAAGACCCTCTTCACCAAAAAAAAAGGACCCCCCTTGAAGGGGCCTTTACATATGAAAGGTTTTTGGTCTTGGACCCTTTCAACCTCTCTTGCATGTATCTGTTCAACAGCGCAATCAAAATATGGCCACAGATTAAAAAAAAGTTGCTATGACAACTTTTAAAATTGTATAACCCCCCACCCAAAATAGAGGAATTTAAACATTTTCTTTACAGCTGTAAGTGGTTTACGCTTTTTTTGAAAATAAAAAAAAAATTAAAAATAATAATAAAAATAATAATAATTTACAGCCTGGTATGGTTGGTAACAGCACCCCCCGGGGAGGTATACCCCCTCCAAGTGAGTGTAAACAAAAAGCCTTAATTTTTTTTACATGATGGTGGGATTGCTGGTGCCCTTTTTTCGTTCATGAACATGCAAGATTCAGGTACGTCTTGCTACTTCTATTAACTTGGTCACCTACACATACTTTTAAAAGCAATATAACACCCCCCTGGGGGTTTTCTTTATTTTTTTTTTTAGTTTTATTCTTTTTTTTATTTCCCCTTATCTCCGGGGGGAAGTGGAACAGAATTCTTCCCCCCAAAGCCATGCTGTTGTAAGAGGCGATAAAAGCCGGAGCAAGGGGCAGTAACCTCTTTTCCTGTATATATTCAAAAATGTAAAAGGAGAAATTTTTCTTTTCCTTTTGGGGGGCCCCCCCGCCTCAGGGGGGATACAGCCGGTGTGTTGAAAGAAAGAAAGAAAAATTTACAGCTGTATTTTTTTTGAAGGATGTGGTCGATTTCGCCATTGGGGTGTGAAACAAATGCAGGTTCATGCAGTTTTGAATGTAATAAAACTAGAGTGAGTGTGGGAGAGAGAGAAGAAGAATAATCATTGCTGGATGACTCATAATTTTTTTTGAATATATATTTCCAAAGCTCCCTTGTAAAGCATGGTTAAATTCCTGAAAATTGGGGCAACATAAGAATGTGAAGTAAAAAAAATGGGGAAAAAAGGATTTTGTTCTAGACACTTATAAATTGGCTCAATTTTTTTTTTTTCCACAGCCTTTTCCAATTTCACCCATGCTGTGTAGTCATTACATTGTTTTAGACTCCCAAGTGCCTTACAAAACTTTCCAGCTATAATTATGCATTTTTTTTCAAAGAACAGATTCGGAACTCTTGCATTTGGATTTCTCATCGTTACAGCAGTCTTGCAGGTAAAAAAGCTTTTTTTTCCCTTTAGGGGAATCTATAAAAACCCCCCAGCATTAAGATTACCTACACTGAGGACATTTACTAAATGATAACCCTTCAAAGGGGTTCTTAAGCTGGCAAAAGGGCCTTAATCCCAAACATTGAGGTTGCCCTTAAAAAATTGCATCAAACCCGATTGCCCTCCCATTCCCCAATCAGTATGGGCTTCATGGCTGTAATAATTATGCATTTAAAAAGAACGTGCAAGAAAGGGTTAATCTATTCCTACGTGTAAAAAATACAAATTTTTTTTTCTCTGAAAATTTGGAAGGCGGCCGACTGTTGAAAAAAAAAAAGGTAATAATAATAACTTGTTGTCCCCATATTTATTGATCAAAAAAATCATATGAAGAGACCCCCCTCCCTCCCACCCTTTAATTTTTTTTTCCCAGTTATGTCAGTCACAGTTTTCCCGTAGTATTATTTATGTAAACAATTTTATGAAAGCACTTAGTGTCCTGAATTAACACCTTGCATAACCTAGTTAGTTTTATTTAATGGGGTCACATTTTAGTGCTTTTAAAAAAATCAGGTACTGAATGATTTCTACAAAGGCAGAATAAGATTCTGAACCTAAAGCGTAATGTGAGGGAGGGGAAATGTCACTTACCCCTGAATAATGTACTAAAAATACAAAAAAAAAAGTTTATAGAGCTTATTTAACAAGATTATCAGTTCTAATCTTACTATCTTGATAATTATATTGGTTATACACATTGATACAAAGTGTCATTCACACAAGACACTGAACACATCATTCGTAAAGCAAATTATTTATTAGTTTTTTATAATGAATTGCCTTTAAATTAAATATTAAGCCTTTTTACTTAATTTTTTTGTGATATGGGTCATCCTGCCTTGGCGGGAGACGGTCGTTGAGGTAAAAAAAAAAAAAATCTTATATGAAAAATTAATGAGCAGATCCCTTATGTATATGTATTTTGTCTATCACAACATAATTGCTTTCATATTGCAAATCTGGCTCTAGAGTATTACAAGAGGGAAAAGATTTCTCATTGGTCCCCAAACATCTGAATCTTCATCAGAGTCATCAATAAGGTCATCATCACTGTGGGTGTCATTTCTGCAAACAAACAAAAGTATATAAACAAAGATGTGAAATGATAATTTCACAATATTGTGAAAAGTACAAAGTGTATAGGGACTACTAGGAACCAATCCAGCAACTTCACTCATATACGACTACCACGTCAACTAGGCCAGTCTTGTTTCAGCATTTCCAAATATTAAAATTCAGGTCTAGTATGTGCAATGGGGGGGGGGGGGTTTACTACTGTATATATAAAATACATAATAACTTTAAGACACTTAAAATTTGGGAAAGTTTCCAGACATAATCAAGAGACGCAGAGCTCATAGAGGATGTAAACAAACAGTGGCATGTGGATGCCGTAATAGTGAATCAGGGAGCCATATAAATGAATTTTTGGTTATTTTAAATATCTGTATTAGCGAATCCCCATAAAGCAAAGCACTCCTGTACCATACTTCATATACAATTCCCTACTTTAAAATATGTATATGAACCATAGGAATGTAGTAACCATGAAGTAGGACAAGCGTATTGTTTGTATCCATTTAAAATAAATATTTAATCAAGTAAAATTTCATGGAGGTAGAGGAAAACTGTCTTACCTAACTCTGCGAGGTTTGTAAACTATTTGAATATCATAGTTCTCTAACTCAGTCTCTTTCAGGAATGCATTAAACTCTTCTGATGATATGTTCCATCCACCTGAAAGACAAAAATGTTTAAAGTAACACTTTCACTACAGCAGCTGTATATTGTATCAAAACTGAATTCTAAGCACAGTGCTGTTGAAGATTTTGTAAGCAATTTTTTAACCTCTTAAACTGTTATATTATGCTCATCCAAGGCTGTGCTATAAACTATCTAAAACACAGCTATTACAGTACATATTATTATTATTATTATTAACACACCAGCCATCTCCCACAGCTTAGTAGGGTGGCTCAGATCTTCACTTCATAGAATAGTAATATACGAACATTTTTACACTGTTTAATGGATTTTAATTTTAATATTTTTGAACAAGCTGGCTGTCTTTCATCATGGAGGGTCACCTGAAAAATGAACATTCACCATCATTCTTTCAATAGCTGTCTTGCCAGAAGCTAGCACATCACAATTAAAAAATTCAAATGACTTTCTGAGCAGCAGACAATGAAAAATTAAACTGACCCTCTGAACTGCAGGCAGTGAAAAATTCAAATGACTCTCTGAACTGCAGGCAGTTTCCCCTGGATACCTTCATCAATGTTTCTTTCATCACATTATTATTATATTTGAATTCTTTTACTATTATTATAAAGAAAAAAGTGGAAACAGTTAAAAGATTAGGGGTACTCTTTTCATTCACTAAAAAGTGGCATCAATGAAAGTTTGTCGTCAACAACTACCAAGTGTTTACCAATTCTTGGATTAATTTTGAAAGCAATATCACATTCTTCAGTTGTTTCTCTCTACTATTATCACCATTTTCCTCTTTTGCTTACTAATATACAAACACACACAAAAACATAAGATTTATTTTGAAATTTCAAGTCATGTTCATAAATATATGAGATTCAGACTGAGTTCAGAATGAAGATAACTTTAATATAAAAGAATACTAAATTACCAACCTAAATCCTGGAGTTGTAGCAATTTTGGACAATGTTTAACCAACTTTCTGGCTGATGTTACCGTCAGCTTTGGAGCTCGACTAACATCAAATTCCCTCAGTTTTTCCAAGCTTTTGTTTCGCATCAGTTGGTCCACTCGATCGTCACTCATCTAAGGAGAGTATACAAAATTACAGCAAGTTATTTAGGCATGGGATGATGTATGGGTGGGTCAATATTATGGCAAAATAGTTACATTTACTACAGTAGACCGTCATTTAACACAGTTTTGTTTGCCACGCTTTGGTTATAGCACTATTGAAGAATTGTGGCATATTTTTGTATAACACTTTGTAAAATTAACTAAACACGGTTCAGTTTGTGGGAGGGGAAAAAATTTTGAGCGCGCATTGCCCGCAGGATACACTCTGCTTGGCTGTGGGTTAGACCACTGAGTCAATGGGGGAGACCTATTGCCATTCCCCGCCATCCTCTACCACCCTCTGCCACCCCCACCACCCATGTCCCAGTCTTTGGTTCATTTGCGTTTAGTACGTACCATCTTCTGCTAGGGGTTTAGATCTTGTAATTGCCATATCTTAAATCTGTCAAGCAATCAGGGCACCCAGTAGGCATACAAGTGTTGCTGAAAGTGGCAAGAAAAGGTATAAGCGCTTAAGTCTTATAATTAACAAAGAAAATCGAGATATTAGACGAGATAGCCTGTGGCCATAATGAAGCGTCACTTTGTGCACATAAAAAGAATGAGATAAATATGAGTTTCTGCAATGATTGACTGACTTACTGACTTGATTGACTGACTTACTGACTTGACTGATTTAGTGACTTACTGATTGACTGACTTACTGACTTGATTGATTTACTGACTGACTTAAAGTTAGACTTTTTCACTGAAGAGGACACTGAAACAGTGTCTAGAGCAGCTGATGCCTTACCGTCAGTTGTATAATGTACTGCGGGGTAAAATGGAAGAGAAATCCATTACAGAGTTTATATACACTCCAGTACAACCATCGACTTCAGTACCAGAACCTCTACCATCCACTTCAGCCCAATAGTGCCACAGCATAACTCTCCACAATCATCCACAAACACCAGCAGCCACAATTTAAGGTAAGAAATACTATTATTTCTGTTGCATTTGTAATCTTAATCAATAAAAACAACATAATACATCACAACAATGAACTACAATTACATATTCACTTTTATTTTTGAAAGATCCGTTGGTCTAAAATAAAGCTGTTTGGCTTTTCGGGGGACTCCCAGGAACGTAACCCTACTTTTCCCATAAATTCTTCAGTTTGTCTAACACAGTTTTAAGTAAAACAGCATTTTCAAGAATGTAACTACCATGTTAAACGAAGGTCTACTGTATATCGAATAATAAGTTTCTATTACTGCTATGCAAACTTTAGTATATCCGAGGCTTTTTTTTTTTTTTAACACACCAGCCGTTTTCCACTGAGGCACGGTGACTTGAAAAAGAAGAAATGAGGCCTTATATCAAACAATTTAATCACCACAAATAGGAGATATGCTAAATCTTTAATATATTTTGAGCATCTCTAATTTTATAAATATGCAGTACTTACATCACAAAGACAGTCTATCTCCAATCGTGTTAAACTCCTTGCATTATTGAGAATTATATCTGTGTATGGGGCAGGCAAGTGACATTTTATCTTAACTACTTGTAGCTTGATTAGAGCTGTCTGTCGAAAATTCTCCACTGCCTGCCAGGTAAAAAATATACTGATTAAAATACTTTACAGTTACTGCTATACTATTGCAAACCTACTGAAATAATTTCATATAAACAACCCTATGAAAGAAATATTACCATAACATAACTCAATGTTTCTTTGATACTACTACTACTACAGAAACTAAAAGCTTATATGTTTTAACTTTCTACATGAGGGGTGTATAAGGGTTAAGCTAAGAGTTCCTACATTTATTCAACAAAGAGCTGATATTCTACCTTAGCTCATTTAAAAGGCAAGCCCTAGAAATTTCGTTCTTAAAATGTAGCAGTTTGTAGATTTATACTGGCTTTTACTAATTAGGTTTAGCACTGCTTGGGTAAATACTCCATAGAAACTAAAATGTGTAGCTTTCCTTCACTGCATCATTCATTTTCACTGCACATTCCTGAGCAAAAGTGAGTATGGGTAGGTAGCATGTCCATTTCACACTTAATGGATGGAAGATTGAGTCTCCACCATGATTACATGCAACTGTTCAAAACATATGAAAAAATGAAATAATCACTAAGTCAAAGTATTCAGGTTACCCAATACAAAATGTACATGAGAATACTCAAAATATTATGCAGCCCTGTACTTACTCATCAGCTAAACTTCCCAAAGTATACATCATGCTTAGGGCATTGGCTCCAGCTGTCTTCTGGGAAAAATATTTAACACTACGAAGACGAAGATGTTATTGATCGACTCTCTCACTTTCTCATAAAGTAGATAGTTACATGCCACTACTTTTTTGCCTTACCAAGTAATACAAATGTGAAATAATGGAACTCATGTATACAGTAAAAATACATACTTCATAAGGAGCTGAACAATCCTCTCCTTCCATGGTAAGATATTTGAGGTTGATGCATGTGTCAAAAACCACTGGAACATCTAACCCTCGACATCGAACTGTTAAAGCCGTCAGCTGCTGCCCCACAGCTTGCACTGCACCTGATACAGACCGTGAAGCGATGTTGACCAGACTCAGGTGCTGCAAGATGAAATGCTCTTAAACAATCCCACTTGAGCATCAGTGTAGATCAAAATTTTTAATATATATGCTAATGGTTCCAAGGATCACTGCTATTAAGGCTCAATTTCAAACCAGGCCTTCTAAATTGCAGAAAAAATAATGTAGGTTTAGATGCTACATATTAAGAAACACAGGAAGATAAGTACATACTGAATGCAAACAGAAAGAATGAAGAAAAAAACAATACCGTGTAAAATATCGTACAAAACATTAATATAGACATTTTGCTTAATCCATCTAAATATACCCCACAGTAGAATAAATTAACATAAATATGAGATGTGGTAGCCAGGTGACATGTAGGACTTGTGGTAGCCAGGCAACTTGTAGGACTTGTGGTAGCCAGGCAACTTGTAGGACTTGTGGTAGCCAGGCAACTTGTAGGACTTGTGGTAGCCAGGCAACTTGTAGGACTTGTGGTAGCCAGGCAACTTGTAGGACTTGTGGTAGCCAGGCAACTTGTAGGACTTGTGGTAGCCAGGCAACTTGTAGGACTTGTGGTAGCCAGGCAACTTGTAGGACCTGTGGTAGCCAGGCAACTTGTGGTAGCCAAGCAACTTGTAGGACATGTGGTAGCCAGGCAACTTGTAGGACTTGTGGTAGCCAGGCAACTTGCAGGGCTTGTGGTAGCCAGGCAACTTGTATCACTTGTGGTAGGCAGGCAACTTGTAAGACTTGTGGTAGCCAGGCAACTTGTAGGACTTATGGTAGCCAGGCAACTTGTAGGACTTGTGGTAGCCAGGCAACTTGCAGGGTTTGTGGTAGCCAGGCAACCTGCAGGGCTTGTGGTAGCCAGGCAACTTGTAGGACTTGTGGTAGCCAGGCAACTTGTAGGACTTGTGGTAGCCAGGCAACTTGTAGGACTTGTGGTAGCCAGGCAACTTGTAGGACTTGTGGTAGCCAGGCAACTTGTAGGACCTGTGGTAGCCAGGCAACTTGTAGGATTTGTGGTAGCCAGGAAACTTGCAGGACTTGTGGTAGCCAGGCAACTTGTAGGACTTGTGGTAGCCAGGCAACTTGTAGGACTTGTGGTAGCCAGGCAACTTGTAGGACTTGTGGTAGCCAGGCAACTTGTAGGACTTGTGGTAGCCAGGCAACTTGTAGGACTTGTGGTAGCCAGGCAACTTGTAGGACCTGTGGTAGCCAGGCAACTTGTAGGATTTGTGGTAGCCAGGAAACTTGCAGGACTTGTGGTAGCCAGGCAACTTGTAGGACTTGTGGTAGCCAGGCAACTTGTAGGACTTGTGGTAGCCAGGCAACTTGTAGGACTTGTAGTAGCCAGGCAACTTGTAGGACTTGTGGTAGCCAGGCAACTTGTAGGACTTGTGGTAGCCAGGCAACTTGTAGGACTTGTAGTAGCCAGGCAACTTGTAGGACTTGTGGTAGCCAGGCAACTTGTAGGACTTGTGGTAGCCAGGCAACTTGTAGGACTGGTGACGAAAACCAGATGCGTTCATCTGGTTTGTTTACATTATGCGTGGGTGAGGTGGCGAGGGCTGCCCTTCCTGGCTACCCATACTTCCCAACCTGACTTTATACAAACAAAACTCACCTCTCACCCTACATTAAGACTACAAATATTTTAAGGTAATTAATGAGTGTACTATATATGCATTTTATCGCTTTAGGGAGCTTAATGTCGTAGTAGGTATAAGTGGCCAGGCAGGATGCCATACCTCCCACACGACTTTCTATAAATAAATACTTTTCACCTCTCACCCAACATTAAGACTACAAATATTTTAAGGTAAGTAATGCGTGTACTGTACATGCATTTTATCACTCTAGGGGGCTTTAAGCATCATGGTATAGTATGTGTGGGTGGGGTGGCCAGGAGGGCCACCACACCTGACTTCTTAGAGTAAATACTACTCACCTTTTGCCCTACATTAAGACTACAAATATTTTGAGGTAAATAATGAGTGTACTGTGTGTGTATTTTACTTTTTAATGCCTAGTTCTATTGTTAACTTAATATAAGTTAGTGTAAACTTGTTATCTGGCATTTATATGCATTTATAAATAGAAAAAATGGAGTTCTGCTTACCGGCGAAGTCTGCTTTCCAGCAGTAGCCTGGAACCTAACCTGCCAAATAAGTGGGGCCCTACTGTATATATAATAAAATGATGTTCACTAACAGAGATAAAAAAATAAACAATTTTGCACCTTTCACCCTACACTAACCTTGAGGAATTTCAACTGACTTAGATGTAATCTAAAGTGTGAGGGTGATTTGTGGAGGTCAGCTAACCTCTCTAGGTCGACCTCACAAAACCTGTGTGTCAGAGTTAAGTCCCGAAGCTCTGGACAAAGTGTTGTTATCACCACCAATTTCGAGGCAGATACACAGTCTTCCTTCACCCTGATGGGGGAAAAATATATATTATTTAATGTATTATCCATTCTCTTTCACACATTAACAAAAAAAGAAGCACAGCTCATGAGCTAGAGCTTGCTGTCTACAAACGCCTGCTATTATCTATCGTGGCAGCTGATGTATAATTTTATGTACAAGGTAATACCAGTACAGTGGTACCATGACTTACGAGCTTAATTCGTTCTGTGACCGAGCTCATCATTCAATTTGCTCGTACATCAAATAAATTTTCCTATAAATGTATAAATGTATAAATTCAAGGTTTATGTGGAGTAAAATAAAGATTGAATGTGAAAAGTGGGTTATAATAAGCGTGTATGCACCTGGAGAAGAGAGAAGTGTAGAGGAGAGAGAGATTTTGGGAAATGTTGAGTGAATGCATGGGGAGCTTTGAATCAAGTGTGAGAGTAATGGTGGTTGGGGATTTCAATGCTAAAGTGGGTAAAAATGCTATAGAGGGAGTAGTAGGTAAATTTGGGGTGCCAGGGGTAAATGTAAATGGGGAGCCTTTAATTGAGCTATGTGTAGAAAGAAATTTGGTAATAAGTAATACATATTTTATGAAAAAGAGGATAAATAAATATACAAGGTATGATGTAGCACGTAATGAAAGTAGTTTATTAGATTATGTATTGGTGGATAAAAGGTTGATGGGTAGGCTCCAGGATGTACATGTTTATAGAGGGGCAACTGATATATCGGATCATTATTTAGTTGTAGCTACAGTTAGAGTAAGAGGTACATGGAAAAAGAGGAAGGTGGCAACAACAAGTAAGAGGGAGGTGAAAGTGTATAAACTAAGGGAGGAGGAAGTTCGGGTGAGATATAAGCGACTATTGGCAGAAAGGTGGGCTAGTGCAAAGATGAGTAGTGGGGGGGTTGAAGAGGGTTGGAATAGTTTTAAAAATGCAGTATTAGAATGTGGGGCAGAAGTTTGTGGTTATAGGAGGGTGGGGGCAGGAGGAAAGAGGAGTGATTGGTGGAATGATGAAGTAAAGGGTGTGATAAAAGAGAAAAAGGTAGCTTATGAGAGGTTTTTACAAAGCAGAAGTGTTATAAGAAGAGCAGAGTATATGGAGAGTAAAAGAAAGGTAAAGAGAGTGGTGAGAGAGTGCAAAAGGAGAGCACATTACAGAGTGGTTGAGGCACTGTCAAGAAATTTTAATGAAAATAAGAAAAAATTTTGAAGAGAGTTAAACAAGTTAAGAAAGCCTAGGGAAAGTATGGATTTGTCAGTTAAAAACAGAGTAGGGGAGTTAGTAGATGGGGAGATGGAGGTAGTAGGTAGATGGTGAGAATATTTTGAGGAACTTTTAAATGTTAAGGAAGAAAGAGAGGCAGTAATTTCATGCACTGGTCAGGGAGGTACACCATCTTTTAGGAGTGAAGAAGAGCAGAATCTAAGTGTGGGGGAGGTACGTGAGGCATTACGTAGAATGAAAGGGGGTAAAGCAGCTGGAACTGATGGGATCATGACAGAAATGTTAAAAGCAGGGGGGATATAGTGTTGGAGTGGTTGGTACTTTTGTTTAATAAATGTATGAAAGAGGGGAAGGTACCTAGGGATTGGCGGAGAGCATGTATAATCCCTTTATATAAAGGGAAAGGGGACAAAAGAGACTGTAAAAATTATAGAGGAATAAGTTTACTGAGTATACCAGGAAAAGTGTACGGTAGGGTTATAATTGAAAGAATTAGAGGTAAGACAGAATGTAAGATTGCGGATGAGCAAGGAGGTTTCAGAGTGGGTAGGGGATGTGTAGATCAAGTGTTTACATTGAAGCATATATGTGAACAGTATTTAGATAGTAAGGGTAGGGAAAGTTTTTATTGCATTTATGGATTTAGAAAAGGCCTATGATAGAGTGGATAGAGGAGCAATGTGGCAGATGTTGCAAGTATATGGAATAGGTGATAAGTTATTAAATGCTGTAAAGAGTTTTTTATGAGGATAGTGAGGCTCAGGTTAGGGTGTGTAGAAGAGAGGGAAACTACTTCCCGGTAAAAGTAGGTCTTAGACAGGGATGTGTAATGTCACCATGGTTGTTTAATATATTTATAGATGGGGTTGTAAAGGAAGTAAATGCTAGGGTGTTCGGGAGAAGGGTGGGATTAAATTTTGGGGAATCAAATTCAAAATGGGAATTGACACAGTTACTTTTTGCTGATGATACTGTGCTTATGGGAGATTCTAAAGAAAAATTGCAAAGGTTAGTGGATGAGTTTGGGAATGTGTGTAAAGGTAGAAAGTTGAAAGTGAACATAGAAAAGAGTAAGGTGATGAGGGTATCAAATGATTTAGATCAAGAAAAATTGGATATCAAATTGGGGAGGAGTATGGAAGAAGTGAATGTTTTCAGATACTTGGGAGTTGACGTGTCGGCGGATGGATTTATGAAGGATGAGGTTAAGCATAGAATTGATGAGGGAAAAAAGGTGAGTGGTGCATTGAGGTATATGTATAGTCAAAAAACGTTATCTATGGAGGCAAAGAAGGGAATGTATGAAAGTATAGTAGTACCAACTCTCTTATATGGGTGTGAAGCTTGGGTGGTAAATGCAGCAGCGAAGAGACGGTTGGAGGCAGTGGAGATGTCCTGTTTAAGGGCAATGTGTGGTGTAAATATTATGCAGAAAATTCGGAGTGTGGAAATTAGGAAAAGGTGTGGAGTTTATAAAAGTATTAGTCAGAGGGCAGAAGAGGGGTTGTTGAGGTGGTTTGGTCATTTAGAGAGAATGATCAAAGTAGAATGACATGGAAAGTATATAAATCTATAGGGGAAGGAAGGCAGGGTAGGGGTCGTTTTCAAAAGGGTTGGAGAGAGGGGGTAAAGGAGGTTTTGTGGGCAAGGGGCTTGGACTTCCAGCAAGCGTGCGTGAGCGTGTTAGATAGGAGTGAATGGAGACGAATGGTACTTGGGACCTGACGATCTGTTGGAGTGTGAGCAGGGTAATATTTAGTGAAGGGATTTAGGGAAACCTGTTATTTTCATATAGTCGGACTTGAGTCCTGGAAATGGGAAGTACAATGCCTGCATTTTAAAGGAGGGGTTTGGGATATTGGCAGTGTGGAGGGATATGTTGTGTATCTTTATATGTGTATGCTTCTAAACTTGTATTCTGATCACCTCTGCAAAAACAGTGATAATGTGTGAGTGTGGTGAAAGTGTTGAATGATGATGAAAGTATTTTCTTTTTGGGGATTTTCTTTCTTTTTTGGGTCACCCTGCCTCGGTGGGAAATGGTCAACTTGTTGAGAAAAAAAAAAAAAAAAAACGATAAAATCGGTTAAGGACAAGCTCTCTGGAATGGATTAATATTGTTAATTGAGGGTCCACTGTAAATGCAATAACAATGACAAGAATCATAAAAAAAATTTTTGTTCTACAATTGACCTGTAGAATATTGGAAATATTCCAAATATTTTGGGATTTGTGTGAAGTAAAGGGCAAGATATTTTGCAAATGTCAAAAATTTAGCAACTTTATTTTTTTTTGTAGAATAACTAAAGATAATTACATGATTACCTTCAGTGAGAACATCGCACTAGCATTGTTTTATAAGTACCAAGTCCCAAAACCACCTATCATTGTGCCATTTAGGCTGGGGTTCTTGCCAAATGTCATTTTCAGTAAATATTTTTTTTTAGCTCGTAACTCAAATTTTGGCTCACAACTCAAAGCAAAAAACTGACTGAGCAACGGCTCGTAACTCAGAAAACTCGTAAGTTGGGGCACTCATAAGTCAAGGTACCACTGTATTTAACTCTGAAACTGAGGCCAAAGTGAGAATGAGATATTCCTGCATTGGAGGATGTTAAAAAATTTACGAGAGCAGTGACTGAAAAATAAAAGAAAACTTAAACACAATCCCAGCCTAAACATTACAATGCCATGATTGCTGAGTGTTTACAATCAAAGCCAATTAACAATATGTGAAGAGCTCTGGTACCCCAGCCAAATCACTGCCTAATTAGTACATGCAATTCTGGAGCATTTAAATAGTTTTCCATAGGTCTGAAAGTGATAATATGGTGTCTGTAAAGAGGTCTTTATGAAGATTTTAGGAGAAAAAATCTTAAGTGACCTAACCCAACCTTGCTAAGACCTGCATAAACTTTGATGTTAGACAGATCTAAAAAGTGGAACACAAGTTATTACCTGTTTGCTACATATGTAATAGTGGTTCTGCAGTGACTAAAGAGGAATTCAAAAATAACATCCTAACCTAGTTACATAAATTCATATAACTGGATGAATTGTATATAATCCAATTTAGCAAAATCAGTTATTTTTCAAAGAAAACTTATGGGTTAAGACTGTTAGGACAAAAACCAATCCCTGTGGTGTTCTGCTGAGATTTTTTACCTTGTACCACTCTGTAATTTCCTTTCAAACAGAAAATTTTTCATCAACTGCAATAGCTTGTCTTCTATTCCTTCTATATCTCACTATTACCAAAGCAACCTCTCACGAGGAAATCTATTAAATGCATCTTTAAAACCTATGACAAATAAATGCAATTTGTTAAAGTAGCTTAAAAGACTTCATTTTTTTTTCTTCAACGAACTGGCCATATCCCACCGAGACAGAGTGACCTAAAAAGAAAAACGAAAGTTTCTCTTTTTAAATTTAGTAATGTATACAGAAGGGGTTACGAGCCCCTTGGTCCCGGCATTTTAGTCGCCTCTTACGATAAACATGGTTTACAAAGGAAGAATTCTGTTCCACTTTCCCATGGAGAAAAGATTTGATATGAAGAATTTATTAATTGAAAATTGTATGGTTTGCTAGTCAGCAGCCTTTTGTTCCTTTTTATTCACTTTTCTCTAATGAATTTTGCCAGTATTTTCTCAATGCTTGTCAATGAGATGCCTTATATTTCAAGGAACCTTTTTTTAATATTTGAACGATATGCCTATGTGGGTGTATAATTAGGTGTGCCATTATAAGCCTGTGAATCTAGTGCTGCATAATCTGAAAGCTTAAGAGCAGCAAATGCCTCAAAATTTTATTTTCTGATGTGTGCATCTGCTGACCATACAGATACTAAAGACTACTCTGCTGAGTTTAAAAAGGATAACATAAGCCTATAATAGTAACCTTGATCAAGCATTCACTCCCAGTTAGATAGTGTTATCGTGTAAGTGAATTCCATCAAAAATTTACATCAGCAAGAGGCAGCAAACTGTACCTGGGTTCAAAGTGGTTAACCCTTAAACTGTCCAAACGTAGATCTACGTTTGCGCATGTAGCACTCCGACCTTGATTTTCTTCATAAGAAAGAATGTAAAAAAAACGTAGATCTATTTTCGGAGCACTACGCGAGCGAACGAAGATCTACGTTTGGACAGTTTAAGGGTTAAAAATCACTTTATACAGTTTTCTGTTTCAGCACATTGGGAGATTTTAAGTGAAAAATATTGCAAATTTACCAGAGAATTGTTATCATTTTATTTAGGGGAAGTGCTAAACCCATAGGGACCATTCAGCACCCAGGTAATGGGAGGAAATCAGGTTTGATCCAAGAAGGGGAAAACAAGTTTAATTCCTTAATCAAGAGACTCTTACCAGCATCAAGGAACTTCCCTGAAAACTAATGCTTTAAAGCATAAGGAAATGGCATATTTACTCATTGTTGGTCTAACAAATGGGTTCAGATTATGGCACTGTTTAGTATATCTAATCAGAAAGATTCTGCATTCAAGGTACTTCTTCTTGACAATGTCGTTAGCCATTCTACAGACATGTTGTAGTATACTTTTTTTTTTTTTAACACATTACACATCTTTTACTACAGCCCCCAGAAATGGGAGTTAAAAGGAACTTTTAAGTATACCTACACAGGTAGGGCTATGGAAAAGCTTATCAAGGCAGTGGATGCAAGCTCCAATGATGGCACCTGACTTTTAGCATGTTCAACATTACCAGTGCAATTTTTTTTTTAACAACAACCATCCCCCAAGGGTGACTCAAAAAAACAAAAGAGGAAACACTTTCACTACCGCATTCACTGTCTTACCAGAAGCATGACGACATCACAGTTTAGATGGTCCTCTGAACTGCAACATCCCCACCCCTTCCTTCAGAGTGCAGGCACTGTACAGTACTTTGAAAATCCTTCATAAATGTTACCTTGCTCATACTCCAACAGCATGTAAAGTTATAATAACCACTTGCCTCCACCCACTCCTATCTAATTCACTCACACAAGCCTGATAAATGTCCAAGCTCCTAATCCTTGTAACTTCCTTTACCCCTTACCTCCAACCTTTTCTGGCACAACCCTTACCCTTCCTTCCCTCCACCTCAAATTTATACACGACCCTAGTCATCCTATTTTGTTCCATCCTCTCTAAATGTTTAAATCACCTCAACAATCCCTCATCTGTCCTCTCAATCATTTAATATTTTTGGCAACCCCACACCTAATCAATTATGCACATAAATGTGTCATAAGATTAGGTGCAGCAATCTACACTAAGTGTAAAGTTAAGAAAATTATGGTCTATTATCCTGAATGATTCACACGCTTTTTCTACACACCAAGGAGTCAGATGAGGACTGAAAATAGCAGGAGTGTGAGATGTGAGGACATCAAGAATATGGAAAAAGTCAGAGTCATAAACAACCTGAAAAAAAAGAACACAATACAGGTAGGATGAACATTTTAATTATGCACAGTGGTTTTCAGACAATTGGACAAAAATATGAAGAACATTACCAGTGATAAGTGCACTTAAAAATAAATACAATATCCACTATGTACTTTTGTCATTATTAGTAGCAAAATTTCAGTTTTAACAAATCTTCAAAAACAACATTTTAACATGTTCCAAAAGCCATGTTATTTTTTTTAGTTTCTGGTTGCTGAGAACAGATAACCTACTTCTTACTCTTGGCATTTTAATTGCCTTCTCTGATACACATCTATCAAGGAGGGAATCTAAAAAGGTTTTGCTAGGGGATTGAAATGAAAAGCAATTACTATAATAAACAATAACATACCTGTTAAGTTTGAATCTACTAGCATACTTCCGTAACCTGCCCATGAAAGTATTGCGCCGGAGAGATTTATTGCCAACTAAAGCTTCTATTGCCTCTGTGACATTAGTACAATTTCCCAGAGACCTCAGAGAAGGCAGATGTTTGAGCAGGAAGGCAACTCCATATTGGCTAATACCTGTTCCTAGAATGTCAACCTGTTGAAAGATATAGAATATAATTAACTTAAAACAGTGAAATGTGAATAAAAGCTAAATTTTAAGTATATTACAAATTAATCATGAGTTACAGAAAATGATTTGCTAAGCTGAAAACACAGGATGCAAGATATTCCACCTTGCAGGAACCAGGAGGCAAAAAGTCCTCTTTCAAGTGCAAGGTTAGTTTCAGAAGCCCTAAACCCTCTTCTCATCTATGTTGGTTAAATCTAGAAAACTCTCCCCTGTGTGAGTGTGGTGAAAGTGTTGAATGATGATGAAAGTATTTTCTTTTTGGGGATTTTCTTTCTTTTTTGGGTCACCCTGCCTCAGTGGGAGACGGCCGACTTGTTGAAAAAAAAAAAATATATAAATACACGCACTATGCCAATTAACACAGAAAACCCTTCATCTTTCCTGTTCCAGTATGGAAATTGGAAACCTCTCTTCTCTTTTGTTCTAGTATGGAAACTGGAAAGCCCTCTTCTATCCAGTGCCAGGTAGGTTCATATGACTGTACCTTTTACATCAGCCTCAAGAATGTTTCTGTGAACTCTTGCAGACCCTTTCAGATTGACTGAGTCCCATGCTGTTGGAAAGAAATCACTCACAGAAAGAGCCTTTTCTTATGTAGCTCCTAGTGTTTAACAGGTTGCCAGTGTGTTAAGGGTCAGGAATCTGTTCATGCTTTTAAATCTCAGCTGAAAGCACATCTCTTTTCTAGAGCTTATGATCCTGATGACCCTAGTATCACTCTTGAATATAAATGTGAATATTTCTTCTTTAACATCATTGTTGCATTAATGGCTTAATGTACAAGCACTTGTAAATTTCTTGAAAGAACAGACACCCAAGACTAACAACTTCCCAAATAATTATTATTAAATTATTTTTATTATTCTCCTCTACAGTATAAAGCAATATAGAAAGGCCTCTTTCAAAACACAGACTTCCAAAGAAGGGTACACTTAACCCAAAATTGCTACAAGACTGTATATGAAGCAGGCTTATTGAAATCACAATTTTTTTTTTGCTATACATGAGCATGATCAATGACAAACTGCATAACATTCTTAGACCATAATTTTTAAAAGGTTTGGGACGGTAAGCTAGTGGAAAGCCTCGGTCAGATGACCAAAAGCTCCAACAATGGGTCATCATCTAAGACCTACATCAGGAAATGCTTGTCCTGTTTCCTGATGAACCTTACCTAAGCTAACCTATTCTTGGGAAGCAATTCATAAAAAGTCCCATGAGACAGTAAAACACACTGTAGAGCTGAATCCACAAATTTGAAAAGGTTACAGTCTTTGAGGCCTTAGAAATCTTTAATTTGCAGGTATCACAAAATTTCCTGTTTACAAGTGAAACTGTTTCCATTTTTCATTCACTAAATGCATGTTTCTCTCATTCACCTCTTCAAGTGTAGAGCAGCAGGGGTTCAAGTGAAATGACCGCACCCTCAATTCATGCAAGTGCCGCCCTCTTCTGAGCACATGGTTATCTGGAGAACATAAGCACAATGCCTTCAGCCCTGCATCTGTCACACCGTAGCTGTAAGGAAAAACATATGGTACTATATACATGCAGAGAATTCACAGTGTGGTAATTAGCATGTGTGGAGTTACAAAAAGTATTATTCAAAGGGCTGAAGAAGGGTTGTTGAGATGGTTTGGTCATTCAGAGAGGATGGAGCAAAATAGAATGACTTGGAGGGTGTATAAATCTGTAGTGAAGGGGAGGAGGCATAGGGGTCATCTTATGAAAGGATGGAGGGAGGGGGTAAGAGAGATTTCATGTGCAAAAGGCTTGGACATTCAGCAGGCATGAGTGTGCATGTTAGATAGGAGTGAATGGAGATGAATAGTTTTTGGGACCTGACAAGCTGTTGGAGTGTGAGGAGGGCAATATTTTGTGAAGGGATTCCGGGAAACCAGTTAGTGGGACTTGAGTCCTGGAGGTGGGAAGTACAATGCCTGCACTTTGAAGGAGGGGTTTGGGATACTGGTTGTATGGAGTGATATCTAAACTGTCATATCTGAATGCCTCTGCAAAGACAGTGATTGTGTGTGAATGATGATGAAAGTGTTTCTTTCACTTTTAGGTCACCCTGCCTAAGTGGGAGATAAATATAAATATATAAATATAAGTGTAGAGGAGAGAGAGAGATTCTGGGAAATATTGAGTGAATGTGTGGGGAGTTTTGAATCAAGTGTGAGAGTAATGGTGGTTGGGGATTTCAATGCTAAAGTGGGTAAAAATGTTATGGAGGGAGTAGTAGGTAAATTTGGGGTGCCAGGGGTAAATGTAAATGGGGAGCCTTTAATTGAGCTATGTGTAGAAAGAAATTTGGTAATAAGTAATACATATTTTATGAAAAAGAGGATAAATAAATATACAAGGTATGATGTAGCACGTAATGAAAGTAGTTTGTTAGATTATGTATTGGTGGATAAAAGGTTGATGGGTAGGCTCCAGGATGTACATGTTTATAGAGGGGCAACTGATATATCGGATCATTATTTAGTTGTAGCTACAGTTAGAGTAAGAGGTAGATGGGAAAAGAGGAAGGTGGCAACAACAAGTAAGAGGGAGGTGAAAGTATATAAACTAAGGGAGGAGGAAGTTCGGGCAAGATATAAGCGACTATTGGCAGAAAGGTGGGCTAGTGCAAAGATGAGTAGTGGGGGGGTTGAAGAGGGTTGGAATAGTTTTAAAAATGCAGTATTAGAATGTGGGGCAGAAGTTTGTGGTTATAGGAGGGTGGGAGCAGGAGGAAAGAGGAGTGATTGGTGGAATGATGAAGTAAAGGGTGTGATAAAAGAGAAAAAGGTAGCTTATGAGAGGTTTTTACAAAGCAGAAGTGTTATAAGAAGAGCAGAGTATATAGAGAGTAAAAGAAATGTGAAGAGAGTGGTGAGAGAGTGCAAAAGGAGAGCAGATGATAGAGTGGGAGAGGCACTGTCAAGAAATTTTAATGAAAATAAGAAAAAATTTTGGAGTTAAACAAGTTAAGAAAGCCTAGGGAAAGTATGGATTTGTCAGTTAAAAACAGAGTAGGGGAGTTAGTAGATGGGGAGAGGGAGGTATTAGGTAGATTCAAATTCAAATTCAAATTCAAACTTTATTCTCTATAAGTATTACAATGCTGAGTTAACAGAATTTGGTTATTGTGTGGTTTACATGTAGTAAAACAATAATTACAGAGTGTACCACTAGAACGCCTAGCATGGCTAGGCATTTCGGGCAGACTTATATTAAATCTTAGGTTTAAAATGTTACAAAATTATGAGATAAGTTGGTATTATGGCTAAGTGACTAAATACTAGTTGTGAGTTTAGCAATGTGAATGCTTTTGTTTTGGCACTATACGTAGTTTCAGCATTGGAGTATCACAGGCCAACTTATGACTAGTTAAGATTCATTATTTTGAGATTGAGATTGATATTTCTGTTTATGGTCAAATGGGTGAGCGAGTGTAAGTGTGAACCACCAGGTGGTATTCGTATTATTAGTTGACAGGGTGTATCATGGAGATAAGATGTTTTCTGATGGTAGTTTTGAAGGTGATGAATGTGTCTGCAGTTTTGGAATTTTCAGGTAGGGTGTTCCAGATTTTAGGGCCTTTGACATACATTGAATTTTTGTAAAGGTTTAGTCGGACACGGGGAATGTCATAGAGATGTTTGTGTCTGGTGTTGTGCCTGTGGGTTCTGTCACAACTATCAAGAAAGCGTTTTAGGTCAAGGTTAATATTGGAATTTAAGGTCCTGTAGATGTAGATTGCACAGTAGTAAGTGTGGATGTACTGAACAGGGAGTAAGTTTAGATCTATGAAGAGTGGGGGGGTGTGTTGCCAGGGATGGGATTTAGTGATTATTCTTACTGCGGCTTTTTGCTGGGTTATTATTGGCTTTAGGTGTGTTGCTGCAGTTGAACCCCAAGCACAGATAGCATAGGTGAGGTATGGATATGTAAGTGAATGGTATAGTGTGAGAAGGGCAGTTTGCGGCACGTAGTATCGTATCTTGGAGAGGATCCCAACCGTTTTGGATACTTTTTTGGTTATGTGTTGGATATGGGTGCTGAAGTTCAGGTTGTTGTCGAGGTATAGGCCTAGGAATTTGCCCTCATTATGCCTGGTAATTAGAGTGTTGTCGATCTTAATGTTAATTTGCGCATCTCCTGCTCTGCTACCAAACATAATGTAGTAGGTTTTGTCAACGTTAAGCGTAAGTTTATTGGCTGTCATCCAAGTCGATATTTTGATCAGCTCCTCATTAACAATGGTGTTGAGGGTTGCAAGATTAGGGTGAGAGATGACATAAGTTGTGTCGTCAGCAAAGAGAATGGGGTTCAGGTGTCGAGATACGTTTGGAAGATCATTGATGTATATGAGGAAGAGCAGGGGACCAAGGACACTTCCCTGCGGAACTCCAGTATCAAGTGGCTGTGTTGTTGATGCTGTGTCTTTAATGGTGACATACTGATACCTATTAGTAAGGTAAGATTTGAAATATGCAAGTGCATGGCCTCTTATACCATAATGGTCAAGTTTGTGGAGTAGGATGCCGTGGTCTACTGTGTCAAAAGCTTTTCTTAGGTCAATAAAAATTCCTAGTGGATATTCCTTATTTTCCAATGCTGTGTAAAGCAGATCTAGCATTCTTATAATTGCATCGTTAGTGCTTTTATTTTTCCTGAATCCAAATTGGCAGGGGTTGAGTATGTTTTGTGACGTTATAAATGAATACAGTGGACCCCCGCATACCGTTGGCCTTGCATAACGTTAAATCAGCATACCGCTACATTTTATTGCCAAGATTTTGCCTCGCATACCGCTAAAAAATCCGCTCAACGCTGTTCGTCCGAGACGCGTCTAATGTGCGCCCTTAGCCAGCCTCACATGTTCCGCCGGTGGCATTGTTTACCAGCCAGCCTCCGCGGTAACATCCAAGCATACAATCGGAACATTTCGTATTATTACAGTGTTTTTGGTGATTTTATCTGCAAAGTAAGTGACCATGGGCCCCAAGAAAGCTTCTAGTGCCAACCCTACAGCAATAAGGGTGAGAATTACTATAGAGATGAAGAAAAAGATCATTGATAAGTATGAAAGTGGAGTGCGTGTCTCCGAGCTGGCCAGGTTGTATAATAAACCCCAATCAACCATCGCTACTATTGGTGGTACAGCTGCTGCTGTAGTACCGTCTGCTGCTGCTGTAGCATCGTCTGCTGCTGCTGTAGCACTGTCAGCTGCTGCTGCTGTTGTACCACCGTCAGCTGCTGCTGCTGCTGTTGTAGTACCGTCTGCTGCTGCTGTAGTACCGTCTGCTGCTGCTGTAGCATCGTCTGCTGCTGCTGTAGCATCGTCTGCTGCTGCTGTAGCACTGTCAGCTGCTGCTGCTGCTGTACCACCGTCAGCTGCTGCTGCTGCTGTAGTACCGTCTGCTGCTGCTGTAGCATCGTCTGCTGCTGCTGTAGCACTGTCAGCTGCTGCTGTACCACCGTCAGCTGCTGCTGCTGCTGTAGCATCGTCTGCTGCTGCTGTAGCATCGTCTGCTGCTGTTGTAGCACTGTCAGCTGCTGCTGCTGCTGTAGCACTGTCAGCTGCTGCTGCTGCTGTAGCACTGTCAGCTGCTGCTGCTGCTGTAGCACTGTCAGCTGCTGCTGCTGCTGCTGTAGCACCGTTGTTGGTGTGGCTTATTTAGAATACCAAGAAACAATTAACCCCAGAGGATTTGCCACCCAGGATAACCCAAAAAAGTCAGTGTCATCGAAGACTGTCTAACTTATTTCCATTGGGATCCTTAATCTTCTCTCCCAGGATGCAACCCACACCAGTCGACTAACACCCAGGTGAACAGGGAAAAATGCCTGGAACTAGTGCTCATATTGGTGAATTTAAAGCCAGCAAAGGTTGGTTTGAGAGATTTAAGAATCGTAGTGGCATACACAGTGTGATAAGGCCTGTTCTGGAAGAAAATGTCAAACAGGACCTACAGTACTCAGGAGGAAAAGGCACTCCCAGGACACAGTGTCTCATCAATCATTCCTGCATCTTCAATAAAGGTAAGTGTCATTTATTCTTCATTTAGTAGAGTAGTATAGTACATGCACAATATATATTGTGCATGTACTACTCTACTATTGTGCATGTATCCTTCTCTTTGTGTGTAGGAAAATGTATATTTCATGTGGTAAAAAATTTTTTTTCATACTTTTGGGGGTCTTGCACGGATTAATTTGATTTCCATTATTTCTTATGGGGAAAATTCATTCGCATAACGATAATTTCGCATAACAATGAGCTCTCTTGCACGGATTAATATCGCTATGTGGGGATCCACTGTACAGTCTCCTGTGCACGAGTTTCTCAAAGATTTTGGATAGCAATGGTAAGTTTGATATTGGCCTATAGTTGTTTAAATCTGTAGGGTCACCACCTTTATGTATTGGTGTAACCCTTGCGATCTTGAGTAGTTTCGGGAAGGCGCTAGCTTCTAGTGACTTGTTAAAAAGCAATGAGATAGTATGCGAGAGGACATGGGCCA